GAAAGGAACCAAAACCAAAGGGAATGTGGAGTCCTTTATCCTTGGCAGGATTTCCCAAACTGTACCCCAGCAGACATCAAGAGGACCTGAGTGTGGTTGGGGGTAATGCAGGATGGGGACAGATGGGTCTGCAAGTTGGAGAACCACTGGAATAAACTAAATTAAACAGGCTTCTTTAATGAATGACTTTTGGAAATTTTTACAAAGTTAATATGCAGAGTGAATCTCAAAAAAAATATTCATATGCAGAGTTGTCCAAATTTTTTGATCCTAGAACAGTTTGTGAGGAATGCATCCCATACGCTAATGGGGAAATCAAACAGATAAAAAATTGGCTAGGTGGGGTCAGAGCTCAGTAGAGCTGGGGGTGGGCTGCATATGGTTTGTGAGTTATTCCCCTATGTTTGAAATACCTGACAATTTGAAGAAAAAAATTTTTTAATGCTTCCAAGCTACATCCTCAATGTGGAGGCAATCCCAAACCTGATATACCCTGAAAGCAACTTGTAAAAAAATTATAGGACGAACAGAAAGACTATATCTACCAACCATAATCATCCATGATTCCAGCTACACCTCCTCCTCCTTCATATCCTCAGGCAATAAAAAAGTAGATAAACCCTGATAACCATAACACAAACTAAAGAAAGGAGAAGAAAAAAATTAATTTCATGTAGGAAGAGAAACAATTAAGAATAATTCACTCAGATTATATCTAAAGGTGCATCTGAACCTGCTTTGTTAAAGATACTTGGCAGAGAGAACAATGGCAGAGCGAATACGTGTAAGTCCCACAGGACAGAAGGGAGCGCAAAGGGGGAGAAGTGCATGAAAGACAATGAAGAAGCCAGTCTGGAAAAAGACACTGTCCCGCAAGTGGGCTGGAAGTGTGCCCACAGGCCCTGCTGATGCTCAGGAAGCAGAAGAGAAACACCCCTGGGCGGCTGGATGATTCTCTGTCACTGGTTTCATTGCCACTTGGAACACGTCTAGCCTGGAGATTGATTTGGAATTTTTCATCAGAAACAGAATAGGCGGAGTTGTAAACTTCAACAGCAACGCCCAGGAATGGCTTCAGATAATTATACAAAGTCAGAGGCTAAATAAAAGGATTGGGGCAACAAATTAAATACTGGGCCCCTGACATTGGTCATTTTATTCCAGCAATTCTGCTATTGCTCAAAAGAGTTGGAGCACATTTGGGGGGGGGGGCATTACTTTTAAAACCGAGATTTTTTTTTTCATCCAATAACGGAAAACTAGTTCCGTTATTTTATTTTCATACCTCACTCTTGATCCAAAACAATCTTATTCAACACAGTAAAGTGCTTGGCACATAACAGGCAAATAATAATAATAGTATCTATGACCTATGTAGCACTTACGTACTGGCACTGGCCTAAAGCTTTATATATACGGAAATTTAATTTAATTCTCCTAACTGCTCCCTCTGAATAAGTACCAATATTATCTCTGATTTCAGTTGAGGAAACTGAGGCCCAGAGAAATCAAGGAACTTGCTTACGGTCACGTAACAAGTTCCCGACAGAGCTGGGGTGTGAACACAGCACCTGGCCCAGGGCCCAAACTCCATCACTATATAAATATTTGTTGAATGAGTGAATGGATGATCAGCAACTTTATTTACCCAACTTGGTCCCAGACCACTTCTGGCTCCTTTTCTTCTATTGAGACTATAGGAAAAATGTTGAAAATTAGATATAAATTCTGGTTGATTTGCTTTTCATATGAGTTTCATTACACAATACTTAAATCTTCTAATTCTGGTTTCCCCTGAAGGCCACACTAGTTGTCAAAATCTCTGTAAATCATCTTTCCCACCCTGTCTCCTTACCTCTTCACACACAGGCTCAGATAACTCTCTCCATCAGTAGGCAACGAAAAATCTAATTAAAGCCTGCACAAGGCCAACCACACAGGAACCCCCGAACTCAGCCAAGGGCAATGGAGAAGGGTCTGCATTAGAGGCCTGGGAGGGGCCCTCTCCCATTCGAGGGGCTCCCCTGGGGGTGGAGAGGGAAGCAGAGGCATGCCGAGGGGAGCACGAGAGAAGTCAGCAGACCACCCCAGGAGACTACAAACCTGGCATCATCCAAGGGTGCCAACGGGGCAGGGGGCAGAAAGAAGGCTCTGAGCCCCTGACTATTGACAGCTGCATTCCAGTGGACAGGAATGTGGTAGCTCAACATCTATCAGCTTCATCCCAGTCAGCAAGCCAGTCACCTGGGGAGACGCTGACAAGGGCTGAGCACGTTTCACAGCTATTGGAACCAGGATTCAAGACCAGGACCTAGTCCTGGAAGAAAACCAAGTAGAAATTTGATCAGAAGTTCAGCCAATGGACAAGCATCCTGGGGAGGCAAAGGTTCCCCTGGGACACCAGTGCCTGGCTCGGAGCCCAAGGCCAACCCCATGCCCAGGAAGGAGGCAATCGTGCCCCTGGAGCCCTTCCAGGATCGGCCTGAACTGGCCTGGGGCCGCAGTTGTCCAGTGCCTGCGGTCGGTGAGCGGCACGGGGGGAAGGACAGCTGTGTGCTGGTGTCCACCGGGAAAGGATGAAGATTAGCACCCAACACAGAGGCCTGGACACGTATGTCGAATCTCAGAAAATCAGATATTAACAGAAGCCCTGGTTTATTCAAAGCACCTACTCAGAAATCCTACAGAGGAAAAGGGGCTAGGGCTGGAAGAACCTCTGGGAAGACAACACTGTCCTTGTCAGTTTTTTGAGGTGACACTTTAGGGAAATATCTAAATAGAAGTTTGTACCTTCTGACCTCCTTCACCCATCTGCCAGACCCCCACCCCTGCCTCTGGTGACCTCCAACTTGTTCTCTAATCTGTGAATTCAGTTTTTCTTTTTCAAGGTCCCATATGCAAGTGTGGTTATACAGTATTTGTCTTTCTCTGACTTATCTCACTAAAGCAAAGTTATGAAGTGCTCCTTATTTGAAACAGGTGGCATATTACCACCCTTGTTGAAGAGGAAACACATAAAAGATGGACTATATAACTTAACTGAAGTATTTTATTACAGGTAAGGCTGGGCTGATTCAGCATGCATTTACCTTCAAATGGGACTCCAGGAATTTCCTGTCTATAATATTCTCTACTCAACAGCCATTCCCATCCCAGTCACTGGAATGAGGCACTTCCCAACCCAGATCTCTATCCTCTTTCAACTCTACCCCTCCATCTCACAGTGTAAGGGCAGAAATAGCAAATGAGGGAGATAGGAGATGGGAGGTGATGCTAACATTTTCTGAAGATAAATACGTAACTAAGATTTCTATGTTTGTCAGGCTAATATAAAAGAAGAGTGAAAAATAACTCCACAGCATCTGATTACTGCAGATGTGGAAAGGGCCTTCTATTATTGGAAGCTGTATTTATCCCCAACAAATCAGGAACCTAAGCAAACGACAAACAAAAAAAGTGAAACAAACAATTTTAAAAACAGGGTAGAAGCAGTATTTACTGCACATATTACACACACACACTGGTACAGATATTGTAAAAATGTTGATTATAAAATCTTAAGGCACCTCATGCATTTGGGAATGAACTAAAGAGACTCCTTCCTCATCCTCTCCACAACTTCAAAACCCTCCTGTGCTGTTGGGGGGCATTTGTGGGTTTGTTGGGGTTTTTTTTCCCAGACTGGGTTATTCATTTTAACTGTGAGATGTTTCTATTACATGTTAATTCCCTAATCATAAATTGCACTGCTGTGCCCAACCACTAACACAACTTCCTCAGTGTCTGACTGGTTAAAATATTTCATAAATGAATACATTATCATCAATACCAAATAACAATAACAACCCAAATAAAAAGTGGGCAAAGGATCTAACAGACATTTTTCCAAAGAAAGTAAACATGGCCAACAGGTACATGAACACACGCTCAACATCTTCACCCTCACGGAGGTGCCAGTCAAAACACAAGGAGATGTCGTGTTCGGACCGCTATTACAGAAAAGATAAGAGACAACACATGCAGGTGAGGATGCCACTGGCAGGGCTGTAACCTGGCACAGCAGCTACGGAAAACCACATGGAGGTTCCTCAAGAAATTAAAAATACAACTAGCCTATGATCCAGCAAGTCCACTTCTGAGCATCCAATCCAAAGTAAATGAAAACATTATCTCCTAAAGATATCTGCACTCTCCCGTGCTCATGGCAGCATTATTACAATATCCAAGGTGTAGAAACAGCCTAAGTGCCTCTGGACGGATGACAGATGAAGAAAATGTGATATAAACATGAGATGGAATATTAGTCAGCCTTTAAAAAGAAGGAAATCCTGCTGATTTCCATAACATTGATGTGGAGGGCATCATGCTAAATGAAATAAACCAGACCAAGGCAAATACTCCCTGCTATCACTTACACGTGGAATCTTAAAAATTAAGAGTCAAACCCACAGAGTAGAAAAATGGTTGCAGGGCTCCGGGGCGGAGGGGGACGGTAATAAGGAGAGGTTCTGGGGATCTAACGAATGACACAATGACTGTAGTTATAAACACTGGGCTTTGAAATTGAAGTTTGCCTAGAGAAATAGAACTTAAATGTTCTTACCCCCAAAAAGGTGAATTTTTTTAAAGAATGCACTGTTTTATCAAGTGGATGGAACTGATCTGTAACCATTTTATTTTCCTCAATGTTAAAAGAGAAAGAGGGATTTAAAAGGAAAAGGGGCAACCTGCACTAACGCGGTCTTGGAAGTGCGCGCGGTCAAAAGCACCCCAAGCCCTCCCGCGCCCGTTCCCCGCGCCCTCCCTTCCCTGGCCCCCGCGCCCCTCGAGCCCCCGTGCCCCCCGGGCCAATACCTCCCGGGCTACCCTGGCCGCCCGCTCCCGCACTGCCCGGGGACCCCGCGCCTTCCGGGCCCCGCGCCCACCGGGCCCCGCGCCCACTGCGTCCCCCGCGCCAGCACCTCGGGGGCTCCGGCGCCCGCGCGCCTCCCGGCCCTTACCGCGCGCCCCGCACTCCCTCGGCGGCGGCTGGGCTGCAGCCGCGGCGAGCTGGGAGCCTCCCGCGAACCGCAGAGCCCGGGGCCCGCGGCGGGTCCGCGGAGGAGACGGGCCGGGCCGAGGGCGGCCTCCCTCCGCAGGGCACCGAGGAGGTGGGAGGAGCGGCGCGCGGGGCGCACGGGAAATCTGATCGGGGAGGCGCGCGGCGGGCGGGGGGCGGGGGGCGCTGCGGCGGGCGGGGGGCGGCTGCGGGAGCGGCGGGGGGGCTGTCAGCACGTCCTGCCTCGGTAGCCCCGGGAGGGGAGCATCTTTCACCTGCACCTAACGTCTGCGCTGGTGGCCTTTGCTCGTGTCGCCTTAGGCCCACTCTTTGAGTTTCCCATCCAGCCCTCCCAGGGGACGGTCCCAAAGTTAACTTTAAAACCCTCTCTGTACAGGTAAGGAAGGGCCGTCTGTGCTTCTCAAACCCCAAATGCCTCCGAAAAGAATACCCTCCCCTTTTCGGAAAAGAGATGCTATTTTTGTAGCAAATGGTTGTTAGCAATGAGCCAAGGTCAGATAACGGAATCTGGAGGTAGTAGAGCTGTTTAATCCTTAGGACAGCCAAGTGAAGTAGGTTCTATTTGTATGCCCATTTCACGCATAAGGAAACTGAGGCAGGAAGAAAGTGAGGGTTGAGTAGTAAGACAGGTGGTGCCAGTGAGAGCCCAGCTTTCTCTAGTGGGAAAAATATACATATATTTATGTACAAAAATATGCACGAATATTTTTTCAGACGGGGCCATATCATGGACCATCTGATTCCGTGGTTGTCGACCCGGACTGCACAGTAAAATCGCCCAGGCAGCGTTCAAAATTCAGCGCTCAGGCCCTGCCCCAGGCCAAGGAATCTGACTTCTCCTCCTTAAACGTGATTCTGAGACAGGATCAGAACAGCAGGAGGTCCATTTCCCCACAGTGAGCAGGTGATCCTTCTTGAGCAAAGATGGAATGAGCTGATGTGGGGGAGATGGAAGCAGAACTCCCCAAATATTTAGCAAGACAGAGTGCCAATACCTGCAAGTGCAGAATTGGCTCAGAGTTTCAGAGGAAGGAAGCAGCCTCGGAGAGGGGGACTGGGCTGGAGGCAGGGTGTCCTGGGAGGAGGCTGATGAGTAAGAACATAGTAGCAGGCTGGCAGCCCCACCAGCCTGCAGCAGTAAACGCCCCCGCGCTGCTGCACTGCGCCCCCCTCTTCCACAGCACATTTCCTGCGGCAACCAAACGGGCCTGGTGCCCTCACAGCTCAGCTGCTGTGAGCAGCACAGCCAGGCAGGGGGCAGCCCCGGCAGCCAGTAGGTGGGACTGGCACTGGCCAGTCTTCCCCATCAGGACCAGTCCACACCTGTCAGCCACAGACACCTTAGCTCTGCCTGCTCACTGGACCTGCTACTGGAGTATAGATGACATTCCATCTCATCAGCTTCAGGTGTACAGCACAGTGACTCGACAATCATAAATACAGAGACCACACTGGGGGTTGCCATAGGGGAGGGGGTGGGAGATGGGAAAAGCAGGGGAAAGGCATAAAGCAGTACAAGCTTCCAATTATAAAGTAATAAGTTAAAGGGATGAAAAAGTGCAGCGCCGGGAATATAGTCAATCATATTGTAATAATTCTGAATGGTTACAGATGGTAACCACACTCACCATGGTGATGGAGAGGGCAGGTGTTTTTAATCTGTGAGCAGAGCAGCAGGATGCAGCAAAGGGGCCTGGGGGATGTCGGACGATGGTCCAGCAGAGACCAAAGTGACAAAAAGGCCACTGGAAGGTGAGGAGAGAGCCTTCCAGGCAGAGGCAAGACCCTGAGACAGGACTATGCCTGCACCTGGCTCGGCACTGCCACGTGGAAATGGACTAACTGAACAGGGTAAACCAGGTATGGCAACGGGCACCAGTCACGCAGCCCTGGGCACAGGGTCAGGAAAACAGCAGCACTGTGTGCAGGCCCAGAGCTCATGGGCTAAGGTCCTTTGCTGAGCTGCAAAAGAGAGCCATGCAAACAACCCCCACTAGAGAACCATTCAGTCCTGTGTGTCCCCCATCCCACCCCGGACCCTCTCTAGAGCACAGCACCCATGGCTGGCAGCCTTCCCAGGCTGCTGAGACCTAAAACGGGGTTCCCAGCCTCAGTACAGTTGACATGTTGGGTCAGCCAATTCTTTATTGTGGGACAATGTTTAGCAAGATCCCTGGCTTCCACCCACTAAATGCCAGGAACACACACATGAGTGGCTGTCTGCAGACATTGTCACATGTCCCAAGGGGAGAAAATTGCCCCCAGTTGAGAACCACTGCTCTAATAGGAAGGAGTGGCACCCAGTGCCTCGCAAATAGCTACAGACACTTATTTATGATGGATGGCCTCCCAGAAAAGGGCCATTTCTCAGACTGGAAAGGCCCACTACATCACTGAGCCACTGTCCGAAGTGCACTTGCTCCGGTCACGCCAGCCCTCCTGCATTCCTTGATGGGCAGGGCTCATCCCCATCACAGGCCCACAGCCCCAGGATTGGGGCTCGTCATGGCCCCAAGTGGATCTTGAACAGTACTCCTTGAGCCCATAAGTTGGGGGAAGAACAGACGGCAGGAGTGGGGTCAAAAGCAGCTAGCACTCTGATGCCCTGGGGCTGGGCCCAGGCTCTGAGAGGCTGGGCAAGATCCCTTCCCTCCTGGTCCAGGCTGCAGGCCTCTGGCGGTGGGGGGTGCCCACTGAGGTCTCCCTCATCTCAGAGAGGTAGAGGTGCCAGCCAGCAGTCCAGCATCTGGAACCAGCGTCGGTGGCTGAGCCTGTCCCTGGGGCCCTCGTGCAAACGTAAGGAACCAATCAGAGGTCCTTTGAGACCCAGAAAATGGTGTTCCCAGGGAAGCCACTGTATGAATTAGAGTTACTGTGCCATAAAGGTTTTTTCAGGTTCACAGCAGTTTTCTGAAGCATTGAGCAAAGCTTTGGTGGGGCAAAGTGAAGGGCTGTGGGGACTGGGACCCAGAGCCAGGGGAAGAGGCTCCTGTTCGGGGAGTCTTGTGTCAGTGCAGCTGTGTGGCTGACCATCCAGGGACCCCAGGACGCATGCTGCTGTGGCAGGGGGGTTGTGCCCACATGGACCCCAGAAGCCATTGGGACTGCCCCTCCCCCTACAAAGAGACTGGCTTTTCCACCCTCTGTCTGGGTGGGGCTGCAGCGTGTAACTGTAACCCCACTCCTCAGAGGGAAGCTCGCCTGAGTGACCCACACAGTTACAACACAAGGCTGTGGCCAGTCTCACCCTATAGGTTGGGACAGACGTGGCTCCTCATTCTTACAAGATGGGACCACACCTTCCCAGACAGTGACGGGATTCACCTCAGAGTGAGGCAGGAAGGGCAGTCCACACAGGTTTACAGAGGGTCAGATTAGGGAAGAAGGTTGAGTTCGAGTGGCCTCGGCCACCTCCAGCACCCAAGCCACAGTGTAGCAAACAGTATGTAAACTTGCACCAGTACGTTTTGTATTTCATATTCTCACTTGAGTATTTTATTTTATTTCAGGATTATTCCAGAATAATGTCATTTTTATGGCATATGAAAACCCAAGGACTCTTAGAAAATGAACCACTGGTTTTCAGCTGTTGGGTGGCCACGTATAAAGTCGTGGTCTAACGCGCTGTCATTCATCCAGGGATGTGCTCCCCTTGGCGTCTCCAGCGAGTGCTGGACCCCTACACCCAACCAGATCCTAAAGCCCACAAACAGATGTTCATCTTGCATCCCAAGCCCGGGAGGTGATGGGACGGCAGGAGCACAAAGAGCCTGGTCACCCTGGCTCTGCCGGATGGCTCCACTGTCAGCTTCCTCTGCACAGTGAGCGTGAAGATAAGAGTTGTCATGCTGTCAGGACACAGGGAAGACAGAGGCTGGCGACCCCCTGTGGCACCCCATGCTGGTTTTTTATAATCCTTAACAATTCTAAGGTAGTTTTTTGTTTGTTTCATTGTCATTTTAGGAAATCACACCCGTTTCTCAACATTGCCTCCCAAAGCATTGCCCCTTCTCGACAAACCCAGGCTTCAGAGGAATACACCTGCTTGTTGGAGAAGCTCTCTACCTGGTGCTAAGTGATTTTCTGAGGGGTTGAAAACCAACTTCAAGCTCAAGGACATTTCCTGCGATTGAGGAGGTTTCTGTGCACCCTGAGCTCTGCAGCGGCTCCTGGAGAAGCACACTGAAGAGAAGGTCAAGTCCCAGGGACCGTTTGCAAGAGAGGACCTTCACTCCAGGGGTGTAAATTCTGGAGCATTGGCTTACTACATTGATCGTCCTTCACAAGGGCACAAGAAAAGATAAAAGCCCTTATGTTTTTCCTTCAGGGACACCCATCAGCGGAAAAGAGACCAACTTGTCCATAACTGGCCATGTCAGGAGCTGGCCCCAGATGCAAATGTTAACAGAAGCTCACACTTCTGTTAACAGAGGAAGTCCAGCCGATTGATTCTGACTAGGGGTTGGGCTTGGATGTTTTCCATCTATTTTTAGCATTAGAAACTCCTTTTTCAAATAGGGTGTGTGTGTGCCTCCAATATCCCCACATGAGCTAGGTCAGAGCTGTTCTGTGGGGTGGAGGGGGGAGCCTTGCACCCCTTCCTTCCACCACCAAAGACATCACATACTTAGACCCATAGGACTGTGCTCCGCACTGTTTCAGCATCTCCAGACCAGAGGATGGTGAAGTTTATAACCACCCAAATTAGTTAGTGGGACCTTGGTACAAAATGCAGAGGAAGCTAAGGGAGTCGGAGCCTTGGCTGCTTCCAGTGGTTTACTCCGGAACCCCTTTCCCCGAGCCCACGTGTGCATGCACCGGGGCTCCTGTCCACAAAGTCGAATCACAATGAAAACCCAAAGCTACAGAAAGGTTTTCACCGAAACTACAGCTTGCTTTCAGAAACACTACAGCTTTCAAAAAGCCCTGGTTTATTCAAAGCACCTACTCAGAAATCCTACAGAGGAAAAGGGGCTAGGGCTGGAAGAACCTCTGGGAAGACAACACTGTCCTTGTCAGTTTTTTGAGGTGACACTTTAGGGAAAT